AACTCGAACTGCTTCTGGCGCTCGGCGTTGGGGAAGGGCAGCTGCCCCCGGTACAGGCGCTTGATGAAATGGGCCTCTCGCTGGTTCTGGCGGCTGCGGGAGGCGCGGCGGGGGCGGCCCCGGCGGGTGAAGGCCATGTACCAGCCCTCGTAGCGCGCGTTCTGGAACGCCGTGTAGTTGTTCTCCAGCACGATCTCGGTGAAGATGCAGTCCTTGCTCTTCCCGTTGGGCTGCGGCCGGGGGGGAGGAGGAGGAGGAAGAGGAGGAGGAGGAGAGAGGGCTCTGAGGGTCCGCAGGGATGGGGAGGGGTGCTTGGGGGACTCGAGAGGTGTTGGGGCTCCCCAGAGCATCCCTGGCACCCCCCCAGACTGTCTTTGTCAGCATCCAGCTCACCCCTGAAACCTCCCAAGTTTGTCTTTGTCACCCCCTGGACCATCCCTGGCACCTCCCAGACCATCTCTCTCACCCCCAGACCATCTTTCTCACCATCCTAAAAAACCTCCCAGTTCATCTGTCACCCCCAGCCCATCCCTAACACCCCCCCAGACCCTCTTTGTCACCACCCCTGCCACCCCCCAGACCCTCTTTGTCACCACCCCTGACACCCCAAAGCCCATTTTATCTCCCCAAGCCCCACCTCTGTCACCTCCCACCCCGTTCCCCAGGGATTCAACCCCGAAGCACCAGGACCAGCTCCCCGGGGGCTTCTCCTTGCAGCACCCAGGGCTGATGGAGGAAAAGGGGGGGGTCAGGCAGAGCCCCCCCAGTGCATCCACATCGCCCATGTGAGTGGGGACAGGGGGACCAGCCCGGTTGGGGATCTCAGTGGGCTCCCAGGTTGAGCTCCAGGGACTGGGGGGACACGCTGGGGGGGCCGTGGGGACACAGAGGGGGCGTGTGGGGTGTCCAGGACTCACTTTCCCGACGAGCTTTCCCCTCCTGCTCATGCAGATGTACTTCTCGCTCTCGGCCCCCTTGATGCGCACGCGGCTCCCGAACGTGTCCGTCTCCACGATGAGCTTGGCTGGG